GAGTTGGGCTTTGAGTGAAGGGAAGGACTACAGGAACAATGGTGCAAGAATGGGAAAGGGCAAGAAGAGAATGGATATGGGTAGTATTCTCGTTTTTAGGGTATGTAGAGTGTATAAAGGCAAGAAAACTGGAAAGGTAATTTGGAGTCTGATTCTGGAGGGCCTGGAATACCAAGGTTAAGAGTTTATATGTTCTTCTGTATTGAAGGGGTGCAGTACCCTATGCAATGATGAAAGCAAAGAAACAAGTAGAGACATGCATCATATCACGGGATAGCCATTGAACAAATCTTAAATGTTGATGGCAAAGGTGTTTATTTTTTAATTATTACATATATGACAATATACATATATTTTGGGGAACAGAGCCTTCATTGGAGGACCAGGTTAGCAGAAGTTGGTTGACCTCTTGTCGAGGCTGTTGTATGATTCTATTCAGGTATAGGTTGGACAGAATGGCTTTTGTGGTCCTTCCAACTCTGAGATTCTGTGGTTGTTTCTAAACTATTCTCCCCTTAATGACAAGACGCCAGGCGTTTACATTTTCCTCTTCTTTCAGGACAATTGTTCTTAGAAGTCATGGTGGCGTCAATTTTATATTTGTACATTTTAGAGGAATCTGGTCACAAGAAGATCATTTATAGCTCTTACAAAGAGCCTTTAGGAGTAGAAAGCAAAACCTGGGAGCTAGCAGAGGGCAAATCACATACTATTCCTATTCGGGAGACTTCTTTGCACCTGGGTTAATATCTACCTAGAGAGCAATGCATTTTGAAGATCTAAAGTGGTAGTGTAGTTATCGATGGTGAATGTGCTATTAATGTGATAACTAAATAAAAAAAAAACTTAAGCATCTGACTTCTGGAACTATTCTTGCCAGAGCTACTTACCCTATAAAGGGGATGCTATTGCGTGGCTCTTCCGAGTGCCCTTCGATAGCTCAGCTGGTAGAGCGGAGGACTGTAGGTTGTATATCTGTGGGAATCCTTAGGTCGCTGGTTCGATTCCGGCTCGAAGGAGATACCAACGTTTTAGAGACACATCCCCAACAAGTGTTCCTTCCTGAAGCTTGTTTGTTCAGAATCTCAGAAATGGGATTTCAGTAATACCTGACATTGACATTCTAGGCAAACTGCCCCTGCTATCCTGGGCTTTTGGAACACTCAAAACTCCTTCTGTATTCAGCTCTCTCTCTACCTTATCTCTTAATAATTCAATAATTCCTTAGGAATGTTGTTCAATTTTGAATCTTGGAAATGCCGGGTAAAAAACTTTTCTTGATTGATTTTTTTTTAACGTCCAGTAATAATACAGACCTTCAGTTTCTATTTTGACCCGGAACTCCGTAAGGAATTCTATCCTAGGACCTCAAACATTGCTCCCCTCTATATTGTCCCTCTCCCCATTACAACCCTTCCCCTTCTCTTCTCCCTCAGCCCCCCACCATTCTCCCTACTAGTAATTTATTCTGAATTAAGACTCTTAGGAGTAACTGCAAAAACTTTTTTTTTCAACTGGTATTTCATCAGGACTCGCCTCTTCAATAATCCAGATGAGTAGTCATACAGCAGTCACTGGAAGACCGGCAAGGCAGCTGATTCCTCATTGGGATAGCTGTAGTTTGGGGAAAGTTTTCCCTTAAATCTAACCCAAATCCGGTTCCCCGAAACTTCTACCCTTGCAACCTGTTCTCCTTCTCTCAGGTCACGTCCTCAGGGTGATGTTTATCTCTCAACATGTCTCACCTCCAACATACAGATTTGCCTATATTGCCATCTCAATATAATAGTTCTTATTTACAAAGCTTTAGAGTTTATTAAAAGTGTAAAGTAAAAAGGAGCCCTGATTTGGATACAGAATACTTGGTTTCTGCCCTTTACTATTACGCGTTGGGCAAGGCATGTCACCTCTCTGGGCCTCGGTTTCCTCATTTGTAAAATGATGGGCTTGGATTGGACTCTGCCTCCGAAGTTCTTTCTTTCTAACTTGGAATGCTATGGTCTTTGCTTTCTTCATGGTAATCCTGTGATTAGCATAATGAAAATGTTAAGTACCGTAGGAATTCTGAAGATGAGGGTGAGAAGACAAAAATTTACGCTTTTTGTGGTACGCGAGAGACACAACTAGTTCTAGATTATGGGGTGAATAATGCGTGTTAGATTACAAACACAAACAATCACGCAGAAAATGCTGGGTGCTTGGAACAGCAAAAATACGCGACCTCCTTCGAGCCGGAATCGAACCAGCGACCTAAGGATCACTATAGGTTACAAACTCTACAGTCCTCCGCTCTACCAGCTGAGCTATCGAAGGAGCATACAACATCAATTTTATGGTTGACATTTCAGATGAGATTATATAGTCTTTGGCGTTCATAAATTTTTTGAACCAGATTCATGTTTTTAAGGTTTATTCATTCAACAAATAACTGAGCGTCTACTATGGAGCAAGACACTGTGGGGGAATACTGTAATGAATACGGTGATCATTCCTTCTGTCAAAGAGGATACAAAATAGCAGAAAAGATCGGAGTATGCAAATTGCAATAACACGATCAGTCAGATTTAGACTAGAGAAGAAAAGAGTGGAGAGGTTTCTCTCCTGCAAATATGTGAAGGCCTATTAAATGGAAGAAAATTAGACTCACTTTGCTTGCTTTCAAAAGACGAAAAGGGAACAATGGGAATTAGAATTAGGAGTAAGGCAGATTTCGGCTCAGTATAGGGAATAACTTCCCCATCGCTGAGAGTTGTTCTAAGACAGATAGTATTGCTTACTACTGAGAAAGTTAATGAGGAAATTAAGTCCCCCATCCCTGGAGGTGTTTAAGTGGATGCTAGGTGACCATTTATAGGGGATATTGCAGAATGAATCCATGTAGTAGTCAGGGTGTTGGACAAGATGACCTCAAATATTTCACACTCCAAGATTCAGTGAATCTTAATAAGCCACAAAAGAAAAATAGAAGGTGTTTTAAGAGTTCCGAGTAGGATAAGATCACATTCTGTTGGAAGATCGAGGAGGGCTTCTGGGAAAAGTTGACATTTGAGTTTATCTTTGAGAGATGGGCAGCATTTAGCCGGGCAGAGATGGGTAGGGCTAAAGTACTTCGGCTGGGGTGGGGGGGTTGGGGGGGTGGAGGGTGGAGGTGAACCACCAAAGCAAAAGTAGAGGCTGAATAACATAGCACATGTTAAGGGAGTCACGAAATAGTTCATTTTGGTGGGTTTTTTTCAAAAGACTAAATTCCATTAAACATCTATTAAGCTACTGCTACTACTACTCTCAATAAAGTTTTCTTCTTTATCAGACTGGTTCACTAATCTAAGGGCGAGGACTCCGCTCAATCTGGAGGGTTAGCAAATGCTGCTGGGGACTTTTTTCTTTTGTTCGACTCCGTCCTACCTCAAAAAGCGCACAAAGAATAGTGTCCCCTACATTTCGGGAAAAGGCTCAGTCCCTGCTACTTGCTGCAGCTCCCTGCCCAGTAATGGGATTCCTGGTTTTCATTAGCATTCGTGACTGAGAGCAGACAGAAGTCTCTAGTTCATTGGTCCCTGAATTCAAGACTGACTTATTCCTCCTGCAGAAAAGAATTTCTTAATTCCCACTCTGTCCCTCCGCTTTCCTTATGTCTCTTATCTAAGTATTAGTCAATATCCCTTCGACTTCTGTTGAGGTGAACAAAAAGTGGAATCAACCCATTAGTATGGGTTTGGGTGCAGGCAGGGAGGGGAAATGGGGGCAGAGAAGGAGTAAATGATGTCGTGGCAGGATAAATAATAGATGAGAAGTAAGAAGAAGAAGAAAAAAGACAAACCATTTAGTTCAAACCAGAAACCGAAATGCATTCCTATATGACACACAAAGAGTTCAATCATCTTGCCTTGCGTGGGGCTCGTTGGTCTAGGGGTATGATTCTCGCTTTGGGTGCGAGAGGTCCCGGGTTCAAATCCCGGACGAGCCCCGTTTTTACCCCCCAACTTCTCTACTTTTGTTTTTCTTCTCTGCAGCGTATAATGAAGCAAATCAAAACTTTTCTTGAACTCCAGCCTTTCCTGCTAAAAGGAAACTAAGCTAAACGGAGATATTAGTGACAGCAAAGGAAAAGTACTGGGGGACCTCGTTACTAGACCCTGAGTGACTATTTCAAGGTCGTCCCCGCCCGCCAGCCTGCCTGCCAGCCTCCTTCATACTTGCAAGCCAGCTGTGTCTCTAACCCACTGGGGGTTACATCTCGTCTCCAACCCTGAATATAATCTTTTTTAGCCCTCTGCTGCCCCCCAGAGGTAATCCAGGAGTAAGCTCCCGGACTTCGACAGAGGTTTTCATTTCGCTGATTACGAGGAAGCCCAAAGCAATCCCTCAGAGCCATACCAGAATCACTCCCACACTGGGGCGTACAAGCGAGCAGGGACTAGAGTTTCCAAGTGTTAGTCTGGGAAAGAGGGCGCATCTTCAGACTGAAAGTACAGTAATGATCTCCTTAGTTCGAGAAAATTTAATAGAGGACTCCTGCGCTATATGTTACCTCTCAAACTTATCCACACACCACACAATACACACACAGACACACCAACATGTACACGTACACATCACACACGAATACGCATACATAACAATTACACACAAACACACGCCCACAACAACTTTTCCCTTTCCTCTGCTAACACCCTCCCCTTTTTCTCCTCTCATTCCTACGTTTCATTTCGCTCTTCTGCGGGCCAATGAGCGGAGTCCAAAAGACCACATTTCGTACGTAGCTTGTCTTCCTTGGCTTGTACCTTTTTGGATTATCTTGGCCATTTTTCTCCACTCTGAGGCTAGCACGGTAGCCAGCTCAGAGTAAGAGCGCAATAATCTCCTGTTGCATTGATTTCTTATCAGGAACGGGTGCCTGGTGATAGAATTAATCTGTTAACTTTTGTTAATTCTGCCTCTCCCGTTTTCATTTCACAGATTTTCAGTCCTAAAAGGAACCCTTCTTAAGAGATCATCTCTCCATTTCCGCCTTACTGGAGGAAGAAACAGGCCTGTTGTTCAACATCACACAGTGAGTTACTCTCTGTTGTTGTTGTCGCTGTTATTTGGGAAGAGGGTAGGGAGGGATTTAAAAGTCTTTGACTTCCAGTCCTGGACTCACTTTGTCTTTTCTCAAAAAAAAAAAAAAAGTTCAGAGTCAGATGCCCCCCCACCCCCAAGAATTTCAGTGAAACAAAATTTTGTATAAGCCTGACTATCTATAGTCCACCTTCTGTCTTCTGAGAGGCAAGGGGCATGCTTCACTCTCAGTCTCTGAACAAGATTGGTCCACTGATTGGTCTATTTAATAAGTCTTTCAGTATAGTTTTCCCAATAATTGTTTATTATGTCATCATCTCTTATATCATTTTGCTTACTTGGGCTCTGCCTCAGTGTATTCTAGTCTTCCCAAGTTTGTCTGACTTCTTCATATTAACTATTTCTTTTTTTTTTTTTTCGGTGAGGCAGTTGGAGTTAAGTGACTTGCCCAGAGTCACACAGCTAGTGAGTGTTATGTGTCTGAGGTTGCATTTGAACTCAGGGCTTCCTGACTCCAGGGCCAGTGCTCTATCCACTGCCCCACCTAGCTACCCCTATATTTGGTGTTTCTAAATTAGTTGCAATGCTACCTCATTATATTCACACATACATGTTTAGCTATTCCTCAATAAGGACACCCAGACTTACTTGATCAGTTAAGGCAAATGTGTAAAGGAGTCAGTATGGTGGAAACATCAGTCTTCCTTTAAAGTTGAAGTTAAATGCTTTCTTTTTCTCCTTAGTGTCTGGGCCCACTTTATGAGACTTAAAGGTCATGTTCCCCCCTCTCCTTTATCCTAAGTAAAACATAACTGTGGCTTTTGCAGTGGCATACAACAGGACCCCAAAAAAGGAACTTCTGATGCGCATCTTTCTTAGGCTTCCTGTTAGAATTTTAGGAGAATCTGCAACCTTGACTTGGGACTGGTCATCAACATAGGCCATGTAATGATTCCTTAGCAGATGTTACAGTTATAGTTGTGGATGAGGAGGAAGGCTGAACAAGTGGCCCCTAATCCAACCACTTATCTCTGCCTCCTTCCCATATGCTACAGCAGAAGCATTTATTAAATACTCATTGAATGTAAAATAATTGGAAGGAGGAGCCAGGAATACGAAGGAGGTGGCATCTAATGTGAGCCTTAAAAGCACAGATTGAGATATGGAGGGAGGCTTGCCCCAAATCACTGCAGGAGGGAAGAAAAGGACAGATCTGGCCACAAGTAGCAATTGAGGCTGGAGCATGTGAAGGGGAATAATGGTTATAACTAGGGTTATATAACCATTATAATGGGTTAAGCATTGCCATTTTTATATAGGAGAATAACTTGTCAGTATAGGCACACTTGGAGGAGTTCATTGGTGGGGTATTGAAACTCATTGTTGGATATTTAATTGGATAAGTACATATGAAAAGAATAACCTGTATAAACAATTACATATACAAACTATCTCTGTTCTGGGTGGCTCTCTCAGTTTGCAGAAAAGTGAATATTTAATCCTTGTCTCTATTTGGAAAAATAAGTAAGTAAGCAAGACTTTGCCCCCATCCTCCTTTAGTCAACAAGATTCCTGAACATCACCACAGGAAACATGCAGAGCACATCTTTGTTGCTTTTCCAAGAAATTCCCCAAATGAGATTTTTCCATTGGCAATAGTATGTGCAAGTTCTAATCCCTGTGCAAGATAGATCACTCAGGCTGGTTTGCTGGGTGTGTGGTAGCAGAGAGACAAGGAAGGGACAAGGAAGCAGGATATATAGAGACTGCCTAACAGTGGAACTATCAAATTGGAGGCTCTGAATATTCATAGTTATGCTAGTTGGTGCTTCTGTCCAGGGGGTGTGTGTGTGTGTGTGTGTGTGTGTGTGTGTGTGTGTGCTCGTGCTCAAGAGCACATTTGAGCACATTCTTGTGGTGTCCTCTACACTTTGACATTTACATTAGGGAAGGAATGTATTGGTTGAGTATTTCCAGGCTCCAAGTAATAGCTACTTGGATTGTTCTGGTCACTGCTACTAAGATAAAAGTGGTAACTATTTGTTGTCTGGCTATCCTAGGAGATCACTGCTTGATATCTTTTTTAGAGCTCAGCTCTTTTTAAAAGTACAGTCATACCTCATTTTCTTGCACTTTGCTTTATTGTGCTTCAAAGATACTATATTTCACTGATATTACATTTTTAATACGTTGAAGGTTTATGGCAATCCCATGTCAAGCAAGTCTATGGGTGCAATTTGTCCAATAGCATGTACTCACACAGTGTCTCTTGTCAAATTTTGGTAGTTCTCACAACATTTTAAACTTCTTCATTATTATTCTATCTGTTATGGTAATCTGTGATCAGTGATCTTTGTTGTTGCTATTCTAATTGTTGTGGAGTACAACAAACTGCCCATGTAAGATGGTGAATTTAATTGATAAATGTTGTGTGTGTTTTGAGTGCTCCACCAACTGACTGTTCTGTTTTTCTCCTTCTCCTTTGGCTTCTCTATTCCCTTGAGACACAACAATATTGAAATTGGCCAATTATTAACCCTACAATGGCCTCTGAATGTTTTTTGACACAAAGAAGAGTCAATGGATAGAGCAAATTTCATTGTTGTCTTATTTTAAGAAATTGCCACAGCCACCTGAACCTTCCCCCAGTCAGTTAGCATCCATGAACATGGATGCAAGACCCTCCATCAGTAAAAAGATTACAACTCACTAAAGGCTCAAAGCATTTTTTTTAAAAGTATGTACATTTTTTAGACATAATGCTTCTGCATACTTAATAGACTACAGTATAGTATAAATATAACTTTTATATGCACTGGGAAACCAAAAAGTTCATGTAACTCACTTTATTGCAGTTGTCTGTAACTGAACTCACAATATTTCTGAGGTATACCTGAATGGAAGTTATTCAAATTTGGACATATCTGAGGGCCCATGGTGTCTTTGCCTACCTGAAGAAAAATTTCCCCAATAGTTGCTAGTTACATTTATTTCCCTTTATGCTGTCTAGGCAAGATGGCTTGAGAATGTTGTTTGACTGTCAGTTTATTCTGTGTTCAATCTAATAGCATTCATTAATTCACTCAAAAAAACCCTTTATTTACCACCAAATGTATTCAAGTCACTGTGCTAGTGACTTGGAATGAAAAAAAAAATGGAATAATGGAATAACAACAGTAGTAATGATAATGCAACACAACATAAGAGGAAATTGAGTAATCCAACATAGCTGGAACATAAACTTGAAGATAAATAAAAAAGCAATTTAAGGCTAGAAAGGCAGATTGGAGATAAATTGTGGAGGCCTTGAATGCCAGGTAAAGAATGAGCTATTTTTTTTTCCTGAGGGCAATGCGGGAGCCATTGAAGATTTTCTGGTAGTTACCTTGGTATGAACATATTTGCTCATGAGGAAGATTAAGCTGGCAGTTTTTTGATGAATTGAATAGGGGAAAGTCAGTAGGATATCATCACATGTTGATGATATCTAATGAAGATCTAAAAAATCTGGAACATCTAAGTGCATTACCTGGGGTCACCTTCTGTCTTGTAGGGCAGTCCCACAGCAGAACCATTATGGTTTATTCAACTTTAATAGTAAGCCAAAAAACTTGATTAGTTTAAAGCAAAGACAATTTTGAACTCAAATGGAATGGTAAGAAAAATACTAACAAAAAATTCCTTCATAAACCTGGGGCACATTTTTACATAAATATCCACATCAGTAGGGAATACACATAGAGAGGCATGTATGTTGGGAATACATATAGACAAGGTACACAAATAGAGACGGTGTATGTCTAGGGCACATACGTGCAGGAGAAAGTCATTCTTTAACATTGTAGGAAGGCCTGTGTGTTCATATTGCTTCTGTTAGGACTGCTCATTGTTGATTTCATAGTTTCCACCGAATACTGGTTATAAGCTGGCTATGAAGTCCGTGCCAGATTCTGCTTGACTATAGTCTTTATCTTCAGGGACAAGTGGGTGCTGCCTTGTTCTTTCAGTTAGTATGCCATTCCAGCTCTTTTAGAAAAGGCAGAAAACCTTTGCCTTAGAACATGTTACAAGTCTGCCTTCCTCTCATTTCTCTAGCAGGAGATAACTAACTTCAGGTGCCAATCTCCTTAGAGTTTAGACCAAAAAACGTGGTCCTCCCAGTTGACTAAGGCTTAAAGCTTTAGTCTTTTCTTTGGTTTTCTCTTCCCCCTGAAGAATTTGAGTCTTTCAGTCAGAGAACTCTTTCTAATTGATGGTAAGTATTCCATACACTTCCCAAATTTTAATATCTGAAGGTCAAACTATTAACAAAGTAATGATTATTTGTCAAATAATTACCAAATAGTTCTAATTCTCAGAATTCACAAGTTTCCAAAACCTAAGTCTCTTCTGTTTGCCCATGCAGATGAGTGGGTGGAGAAAAGCACAGAAAGACAATGCCAAGTCTAGAGGTCCAAAGTCATTTTCTCTGCTACTTGCTGAGTTGCGTTGCTGGCCCCTTCCTATGCTTGCAACCAGACTTCCTGATCGTGGCTGCAGGGACCTTTGGGAATTGTAGTAAAAAGAGGACAATATAAATTCTGTTACTGGATGAGGAAGGTTCACAGTACTTGAGGGAAGTGAGAAAGGGTAAGTGAAAAAGGCAATGACTAAATAGGAGAAACAGAGAGAGACTAACTCTGGGAGCTGTTGATTTGGCTATAGCTCTTCTGTTCATTGTTCAAAGTCTGGAGAAGGGTCGTGTGCTGTAACAGACTGAGGTTACTGGTAATTGTCAGTCCTTTGGATCAACTCAAGGACAGTGGAAGCTTAAGTCCTTCTCCATCCTCTCCCAGAACCTGTAGCAGGCAAAGACCTCTAATTACTTTAAGCTGTTTTTTTTCTTTTTTTGAAAAAAAAATTATTTTGAACTTGAAAAACACTATTCTTGTGCCTCAAAATGAGCATTTCCATATGCAAAGGTGGAATAGAAAAATAAGATTTCATAAGAAACTGTTAATTTCAATTCCATTCTGCTTATGCTTTAAAATTTTATTTTATTTTAATTTATGAAATAAAACAAGCATTTTTGTAACAGCAGGATAAAAAAAGATTGCACGTGAAACTGCAAATCTATTACGTATGGCTTGTCATTCCTTTTAAATATATAATGGTTATCATGTAAATTACAAATTAACTTTTTAGTTGAGTCTTTGGGATTTCCAAGTATATCATAAAATCATCTGTGAAAAGGGAGAGTTTTATTACCTTATTCCCTATTCTGATTCCTTCTATTTCTTTTTTTCCCCTCTTATTGCTATTGCTAGGATTTCCAGTACAATACTGAATAATATTAGTGACAATGTGCATGCTTGTTTCACACCTGCTCTCACTGGGAAGGCTTCTAGCTTATCCCCATTGCAAATGATGCTTGCTGATAGTTTTGAATATTTTTTTTTATCAATTTAAGGAAAAAAATCCATTTGTACCTATACTTTCAAGTGTCTTGAATAGAAATGGGTGTTATACTTTATCAAAAGTTTTTTCTGCATCTATTGATATAATCATAGGATTTTAAAAAAACTTTTAATATTGATATAATCAATTATGTTAATAATTTTCCTTATGTTAAACCATCCCTACATTTCTGATACAAATCCCACTTGATCATAAAGTATAATCTTTGCAACATATTGTTGTAATCTTTTAGCTAGTATTTTATTTAGAATTTTTGCATCCATATTCATTAATGAAATTGGTCTATAATTTTCTTTCTCTGATTTTACTCTTCCTGGTTTAGGTATCAGTATCATATCTGTTTCACGAAAGGAGTGTGGTAAGATCTCTTCTTTGCCTATTATTTCAAATCATTTATTTAATATTGAATTAGTTAAATTGCTTTAAATGTTTGATAGAATTCATTTGTTAATCTATCTGGTTCTGGTGCTTTTTTCTTGGGAAGCTCATTTATGGCTTGTTCAATTTCTTTTTCTAAAATATGTCTATTTAGATATTCTATTTCTTCTTCACTTAAATTGTTAAATTTATTGGCATATAATTTAGCAAAATAACTCCTTATAATTACTTTAATTTCATCTTTGCTAGTGGTATATTTATCCTTTTCATTTTTAATACTTGTGATTTGATTTTCTTTTTTTAAAAATAAAATTAACCAATGGTTTATCTATTTTATTGGTTTTTTCATAAAATCAACTCCCAATTATATTTATTAATTCATTGGTTTTTTTATACTCAATTTTATTAATCTCTCCTTTTATTTTTAGTATTTCCAATTTAGTGTTTAATTGGGGATTTTTAGTTTGTTCTTTTTCTAGTTTAATTGCATGCCCAATTAATTGGTCTGCTCTTTCTCTATTTTGTTGATGTAAGCATCTAGAGATATACATTTTCCTGATTACTGTTACTGTCCCATAGGTTTTGATATGTTGTCTCATTATTGTCACTCTTTAATGAAATTAATTTAATGAAATTTTGAAGATTAGGTTATTTATTCTCTAATTAGATTTTAATCTATGTTTCCACATTCCCCTGTTAAATGTAATTTTTATTGCATTGTGATCTGCAAGGGATACTTTTATATATTTCTGCTTTTAACTATAAAATTTTCATATCCTAATATAAAGTCAGTCTTTGTAAAGGTACCATGAACTGCTGAGAAAAGGCTATATTCTTTTCTATTTCCATTCAATTCTCTCCAGGTATCTATCATATCTAAAATTCTATTCATTTGTCTGACTTTTTTTTTTTTAGTTAGATTTATCTAGTTCTGAGAGGGGAAGATTAAATTCCTCCACTATTATACTACTGCTATCTATCTCCACATGTAATTCATTTAACTTTTCCTTTAAAAATTTAGGTGCTATAGTATTTGGTGTCTATAGGTTTGGTATTGATATTGTTTTATTGTCTATGGTACCTTTTATCAAAATATAGTTATCCTGTTTATCTCTTTTAATTAAGTCTATTTTAGCTATAACTTTGTCTGAGATCATGATAGCTACCTCTGCTTTTTTGCATCAGCTGAAGCATAATAAATTCTACTTCAACCCTTCATTTTAACTCTACGCATATCTCTCTTTCTTAAATGTGTTTCTTGTAAACAACATATTATTGGATTCTGATTTTTAAATGCATTTTACTATCCATTTCCATTTTATGGGTGAGTTTATCCCATTCACATTCAAAGTTATAATTACTATTTGTGAATTTCCCTCCATCCTATTTTTGCTAACTATTGTCCTTCTTAGCATTTCTTTTTACCCTATCCTATTACCTTATCAGCTCCCTTCACCCCCCACTCCTCATTTTACTCACCCCTCTAAGATTCCCTCCTTTATCTTCTCCCCACCAACCTCCTAAATCTTAATCTACATACCCTTCTAAAAGTCCCTCCCTTATCCTGTTCCCCAATCCTCTTTTTTCTTTATAAACTTAGAAGACTTTTGTACCCTTTTAGAAGTATATATTATTCCTTTTTTATCCCAGATCTAGAGTAAGATTCCAGCACTACTGGACCTCCACCCCTACCTACTTCCTCTGTATCAGTTCTTCCTTTCATTCCCCATTTGTAGAAGATAATTACTCCTTTTTATCTTTTCCTTCCCAGTTTTGTTTTTTTTAGAATCACCCCATCATACTCAACTCAACCCCAATCTTTCTTTCAAACTACCTTAGTAATGATGACAGTCTTAAGAATATTGATAATATTTTCATATGTAAGAAGTAAACAGTTTGACCTCAATAAGTCCCTTATAAATAGTCTTTAATGTTTTCCTTATATTTCTTCTGGATCTTTTATATCAACTTTTCATTTAGTTCTGGGGTTTTTTTTGTCGCAAATATCTGAAAGTCTTTCAGATTGTTAAGTGTCCTTCTTCCCTCCCCCCCTTAAGGATTACACTCAACTTTTCTGGGGAAGTTATTTTTGGTTGCAACCCCAGCTCTTTTGTTCTTTGAAATATGTTACAAGATTTATGATCTTTTAGTGTAAAAGTTGTGAAATCCTGATTGCATTTCCACAGTATTTAAATTGTTTTTTCTTGTTGGTTGCAATATTTTCTCCTTAACCTGGGAGTTTTGAAATTTGGCTATGACATTCCTGTAAGTTTTCTTCCTGGGATCTTTTTCAAGTAGTGAATGGTAATTTTTTTTTATTTCTACTTTATCTTCTTGTTCTAAACTTCAAGATACTTTTCTTTAATAATTTCTTGTAATATTATATCAATATTCTTTTTTATAATAATTTTCAGACATTCCAACAGTTCTTATATTATCTCTCCTTCATCTGTTCTCCAGATCATTTGTTTTTCTAATGAGATGTTTCAGATCCTCTTCTATTATTTCTAGTTTTATTATTTTTTGGTGTTTTATAATGTCATTCTATTCCCCTTGTCCAATTCTAGTTTTCAAGGAGTTATTTTCTTCCTTAAGATTTTGGATCTCTTTTCCCAATTGGTTAACTTTTTTTCATAATTTTCTTGGATTACCTTTTTTCCCCCTAAGTTTTTCCTTAACATCTCTTATTTGATTTTTGAATTCCTTTTTAAGTTGTTCCAAGAATTCTTTTTGGGCTTGTGACCATTTGATGTTATTCTTTGGGGTAGGAGTGGCCTTTTTTTTTTTAACTTTACTATCTTCCTCTGAATATAAACCCAGGTCTTCTTTTACAGCTTAGTAGCTATCTATGGCCAGGTTCTTTTTCTTTTGCTTATTCATTTTTATTTTTATTTTATTTTTAGCAGCTTCTCATTGTAATTAGGTTTTAATCCCAAATTGTGAGTAATGATGCCCCAGGCCTAAGGTCCTCCTTACTGTTATTTTTTGAATTCTGTCCAGCAGGCTCAACCCTCCTCTCTTCCCCTAAGCCACAGTTAGGTCCCTAGCCACACTGTCTCAACAATGTTCTTATTCCCTGCAGGGTACTGCACTCACCAGGCCTGTGCTCCCTCTTTCTCACCCATGGCCACAGCACAGCACTGCTATATGCTTTTAAAGGAAATATGTAATAATCTCAGCCCATTACTTTCAAAACAGTCTTGCTTTGTTTATGCTTCCTTCTGCACTTAAAACAATATTGAAGTGGTCCTCTTCATTTGTTTTTGTTCTTTTTGCACTTCCATCCTTCCCCTCCCTCCACTGAAAACAGGGGGAAAAAAATACCTTGAAACAAATGAGACTAGCTAAGCAAACCAAATCCACATAGTGGCAACATCCAAAAATGTACATCTCTTTCCAAACCTCAAGTATATCACTTCTCTGTCAGAACTTCAGGAATATATTTCACCATAGGTCCTTGGGAAGCATTGGTTATTGTTTTGATCAGTTTTTAAATTATTCAGAGTTGTTTTTCTTCTCAATTTTGTTGTAAAAATTGTCCTATTGGTTCTACTCTGCATACCAGTGTTTTTTTGGAATCACTTCTTTCATCACTTCTGCCAGAACAAAGTATTCCATTATGTCTTGTGAAGGGAATTAATATGATATGTGTGATAAATATACTAATAACTGGATATCTCAAGAACTGCCTCTCCTAGCTTGTGAGTTAGAAGCTCACAATGCAGCTTGAAATGATCAATCAAACCTTAACAATGCTCATAATCACTGCTTGTGTACCTTAAGTGAAGCAAATCAAAGACTATGTAGAACCTATTTCCATCACAGAACTCTGGTTCTGTGCCCTGAATGTGTGTATGTGGGGTGGTCATGACCCCCAAAGACTTGCCTCCAGAATTGTATTGTGGATTTGTGGACTAGTAGCAGGAAACCACTCTGGTCTGGGAAAGGATTATTTGTAATCCATCTTCCCCCCTCCTTTCCCATTGTGATCTATGTATGTAATCTCTGTTTTCACTTCAGCAAGGTGGAATTCTGATAAGGAGAATTCCTGATTTGCAGATCTGTTGCTCATAATGAAACTAATTAATTGAATGGCTACCTGATTATTGGTGCTTTATCTCTGGCTTCCTGTTTTGTCTTTCTCAGGTTGGAGACTGGCTCAGTAAAATCTTGTTAACAATCCACACACCACAATTTCTTCATATATTCCTCAATTGGGAAACCTCTTAGTTTCCAGCTATTGTATTTTATTTTTCCTTCTAAATTTCTCTTCAGGATTAGGAAGTTTATTTGGTTTTGGACTATTCATCTCTTTCCCCATATCCCTGCCTACTTATCTGCTGAGTCTGATATGCAACACCAAACTTGTTATGTGTGTGTGTGTGTGTGTGTGTGTGTGTGTGTGTGTTTTCAAACCTTCTTTGTCAAGTTCAGATAAAAGTGAGGTTCATCTGACTTCTCCTGTCTTCATATTTTCATACTTTTTTCTCATGTACCCTAATTCTGAGAAATAGCAATTTTCATTTCCTTATTCCATTTATCCTACCTTTTCTTTTCCCTTTTACACCCCTCAGAATCTAATCAATCCGTTCCCAGGTCCTCTATTTTTTTTTTTTTGTAATTAACTCTGTCTGTACATTCTAGTTATTCTTCTTCCAATTCCTTCCTCCAGAGCTTTTATTTCATTTTTTATTTCTTGCTTCATTACTTCTAGGTATTCATGTAGTTCTTTTAATCTGCTTGCAGTTGCTATGGAGTCGCTCTCACCTTCTAGGTTAGATTTTTGGGCATCTCTGGATCTATTCTAATTCTTTATAGTGGTCTGTATCTTCTTATGCTTACAGATCTTTACAGTTTTAATTCTTGGATTGGGGCTTTGTGTCAGGGTTAGGCTTTAGCACTTGCTGGGTTAGTTGCTCTGCTCTGCTTGATCCCCTGGGCCTTCACACTGACCTCCATGTCCTGAGGTTAGCTTCCCTC